TAAAGGTAAATTGATACCACAAAATGGTAGTCAACAAGTTGGCTTTAATAGAGGGGAATATAATGTAAGATGTCTAAGTAGCGTAATTCGTTTACTTTTTTTGCATTTAACATGTCAACAATTCGCTAACTTTATTTATTTTACAAAATTAATTCCCTAAGAAACTATGTTTCATAGCAAATACCGGTCGTTGGCGACTGAAATTGCATTTTTTTACCATTATTATTATTATTATTATTATATATTATTTTGACGTGCCAAAGGCTCGATTCAACTCTCTCCACCAGCCAAGACAAGCAGGTTGTTCCCTTTGATTAATATCAATATTAATTAATAATTTATAAATATAGAGAGTGCTTCTTTCTTGGCCTTGGGTACATGAATCTTTGATATATAATGGTTGGTTGGTCTGCCCTTTGGGATTCTGAATCCCACCTTAGTACTGACAACTAAACTAAGATCCATGCCACATGTTTTTGTCCACCCATCACTTGAAATTCAATGTCAATTAGTTTTAGCATGTTTTCTATATTTATTATGATTATTATGAGCTTGTTTGTTTGAATTTTTGAGTGATCACATTATTTTATTGTTGAGAGACATCAGCAACATGACATAGGAGAGTCATTGAATTGCCTTTGGAGCATCCCTCCAACTTGGACGTGACACAATTTTGGGACATTAGTCATTGGTATTTATCCTTTATTTAGACTACTTGTGTGCCAATATTGAAAATTAAAATTAACAAAAAAAAAAACCTTTCATATGAATGAAAATTAAATCACTATACTATATAATTAATAAGTGGTTGATATCATGCCAATCACATTTTCTTATAGTTATTTCATACTTAATACGATCTTTACCAACCAAATGAAATATTCTACAAGATACATCATGTATATTATAATATTAAGTACCCCTTCAAAATTTCTCTTACTTTTGTGTAACATTCCATGTTTGATGTAAAGGACAAGAAAAGAATATAAACGTTTCCTCTCCGGTCCACACAATGAACAATTAGGAACCGTCCACTATGACTTTGGGCAATTATAGGATAAGTGCATGATTTACTTTACAGCAAAGGTGGTAGGGTTTAATATTAACCAAGTGTTAAAGATCGCCTAACAAGACAACTTGGATAACATATTTAAAAGTCTAAAGAAAATGACAATTATATGAAACAATTTAAAGGTTTCGGCTTTCAACATTTCGACTGTCAATTGCACAATATTTATTGCAAGTTGGGTGGCTGACTTTGTTTACAACGACATGCTGTGAGTGTTCCATATATATATATATATTAATGAAATTGTTTATAAATGATTAGAAAGAAAGAGTCCACTTTGCCTGAGTCATGCCCTCAAAACCTAATAATAAATTCGTGGAGTTCACATCATAAGCCAGAACATGTCTCCATGCCCTTTTTCTTCAATTATTGGTAACTAATTAATGTGAAATTAAGATCCTAAAAGATTTTGTTTTAAGTCAACAAAATAAAGATAAAAGGGTGGAGGTGGAATTACACCCTTTTATTCAGTCTTAATATATTTCTAAGTATATTCTTCAAAAAATTATTTTAATTCTAAGTGCAATCTAGTAAACATATATATATATATATATATCTCTTTTGTAATTGCAAACCAAAAAAAAAAAGAGAAAAAAAAGTTAGGAGAAATATTTGTATTTGATTTTTCTTTTGATATTTCTATTTGATATATTGTAAAATATAAGTTGTATTAATAAATTACATATGGTTATAGTATATTATTGACATTAAAGTACAGTTGTTATAATATCGACAATGCTACCAACTTTTTGTCTTTCGACTGGATACGCAACTTGCCTGTCGGGAGCTAGCTTTATCAGTTTATATTACACTGTAAGGCCCAGTCCGGCCCAGCCCAAAGCCTTGTACTTGGGCCTCTTTTCTGGAGACAGGAAGCATCATATTAGCTCTAATGATTATGACATAACGATATTTGCATCAACAATTTAATTTTCTTAGTTTGATCATTGATTGAATACAGAATAATGCAAAGTACAGGAAACAGAAACTGTTGCCCATGTGAAAAATGTTGCAGCGTTGTTTAAGGGTGGGAATCTTAGTCGGGAAGAAAGGAAGCTTATAATCCAACCTCATGAAAAAGCAAGAAAGAAAAAACAGAAGAAACCGTGAAAAGTTTATAAAGTCCTGCTTTTGCCTTGGTTTGACATTCACTAAAGCATGCTACGTACGGCCCGTAACAAAGCAATATTATAATTCATATTTATATATCAAATGTATGTAATTAATTTTCATATTATGAATCAAGTGATATTAAAAAAATTATTTATAAGAAAATTATATTTTTTTATTATAAATCAAACCTTTTTTGTTTTACGTGCATTAAAAAATTATCCAATTGTCACCATCTTTCTTTTTTTCCTTCAAAACATAGTGACGTGTATTTATAGAGAGTTTGGAAGTATTTTTGTCTTAGATTCTTATGTTTAGGAGAATTCATTAGGTTAATAAATAATACTACTAATTACATTGTTACTATTATTTCACAATTTCGAGTCGACGTAAAATATTTTTGAAAAAACATTTTTAAGATTTATACTTGTTTGAAAAATAAAAAAAAATTATTTCAAATGTAAAACATTTTCGAATCAAAAGAAAAAATATCCACGGATCACGTAAAATATGTTATGCCTCACATAAAATGTCTTATGATTTTGTAAGGAAAAATTGCTGTTATATTAAACTTAGCATAATAAATTTGAAAAATATTAATATTTAAAATTAACAAGTTTTTAACTTAGATTATTAATATTTAAAATTTTCAATATTATTAAAATTAAAAATAATTAATGAAATCATTCAATGCAATTAATCTTTTTATTTATAATTTGAATAAATCTGTCCAATTATTATAACAAAAATATTTTGATGATCGTCTTTTAATAAATACATATTTATAAATATAAATTTTGAATATTTTATATAATTGATAAATATTAGTATTTTTATAATATTATAGTGAAAAAAATGAAGAGATGGAATTTTTTTTAAATTAGAGCCTATTGATTAAATGCTTTAAAAAATATCATTAGTGAATTTTCTCATTTTCATTTCTATTCTTAATTCTAATGTGAAAACCCAATAACATATTTGTTTTGTAATCAATCCTTATTTATAATTTTAATAATGATCCAAACAATAAAAAATAATTTTGACAGTTTATCCAAATAATAAAAAATATTAAATTTTTTTATAAAATATTTTATATAAAAAAAATTTAATAAGTTATTTTTCAATTATCAATCTAATCGTTAATAATATCTTTATATAAAACTAAAAAAAATTTAAGAAAAGGAAAAAAAAAACAAAACAAATATCATCATTTACTTTGGTGGTGTCAAGTGATTTTATTCTTAGCTTTAAGATTTTGAGTGTAAATTTAAAATTTAAGATGCTAATAAGTAATAAAAATCAGTTGAAATTTTGTTGGAAAAAACTTAGGGAAGTGAAGTGAATACTCCTTAGTTATCTTGCAAAACAATGTTGGGAGCGGATGTGATTGACTTTTCCTACACTCTATCCATCACGTGGATAAAGATAGTATTTAATTTTACTTGTACTTTTTGGCTTTGGAATAATTGAATATTCTTTGCTTCTTTTAATTGCACATTTTCTTACTCATCGTCACACGTTACGTATGAAGTTGAATTTGTAAACTAAATTTGATGAGATTAAATTCAAAAAATTGCAAGTAAAAGTAGAAATAAACATCCAGTATAAAATTTAAAAGAAAATTTTAAATTATTTTAAAAAATTTTAATATTTTTATTATATTTAATTAAGTTTTTATATTTTTATTTTAAACTAAATCAATTTTTATATTTTTATTTGAAATCAAATAAATTTTTATAATTAATAATTAATTTAATTAAAATATTAATTTTTATTGTATATTACGTGATGTTGACGTGCCATGCTAATATATTATAATTGATGATGATGTGGTATATCAATAATTTATAATTGATGACGACTTAATATACTTATTGATAATATGATTATATGATATTTGTCATTTTATATATAAATATTATTTCAGTGTCATATGAATATAATATAATTATTAATATTTTATTTAATAATAATTAATTATTATTTATAAATTTTATTTGACTTAAAATAAAAAAATAAAACTTGATTTGATGTAATAAAAAGATAACAGTTTATATGATTTTTCTTGAAAAAACGTAACTTTTAACTTTTTTTCATCATAAAATGGTTGTTATAATTTCAAAGTATTTCCCATATTATTAGGAAAAAATAAAATATTTAAATGAATTAAGTAAATCATAATGCACAACAAAAGATTAAAAGAGTGTAAACAATTTTACATGTCACCTATCTAATATTTTAATTTTGTTAGTAATCCTAAAAGTCGAATCTCAACTTTATGTTGCATTAATGCGATTAGACCCACCATTATGTTATGGCATTATTGGAACCTATCTTATATTTGCCAAAAATCAAGCGACCTAACCTTAATTTGTTAAAGCTTCTTTTTCCATTGTTAAACAATAACAAATAAATTAGTAGTAATTAATTAATTAAATCCTAGCGACTAAAACCCACTCGTGATCGGACACGCGTCACAAGATCTAGCATTCCGAGCTCCTCACCCAACTCCACTCTCTCCTCCCCCTAACCATGAGAAATTGAGGACAGGAAAAAAGAAAGAAAAGGCAAGAAACTGAGAGAGGGAAAGGGAAAGAAAAGGAAAAGAAAGTGAAAGAAAAGGAGAAGAAAGGAACAAAAGAGAAAAAGAAAAGGGGGAGGAAAGAGGGAAGACAAAGGAATCGATAGTCGGCGCCCCATGTTTCCGCCGACCAATCTTCACGTCATTATCTCTTTCACCTCCACTCTCTCTCTCTCTAAAAAAACCAAAATTTTCTCTCTCTAGAGACTTTCTTATAAAACCCTAACCCTTCTTTTTCCCTCTGGTTTTTCCCCTTTTTCCCTAGTTTTTCATTTCAATCCTTTAATTTGTTTTATTTTTTGGGTTAGGTTCCTTCCGTAATATTTTTTAACTCATCGGAAGTTGCCCGAGTTTTTATATGATCTAGGGATTTAGTTCTGTTTCGTTTTGTTAAGTTTTTTTCGGTTTTAATTTGATTTTTTTTTGGTTATTTAATTTTTATAAAGAAATTATGAGGGGTGGAAGCGGCGTTGCGGAGCAATCTGTGATTGTTGAGAGGGTGGAGGATGCTGATAAGGAGAAGAAGAAGAAACGCCGATCTAATCGTCGATCCAAACATAACTCAGGTATTTTCTTTCATTATGGATACTGAATTTTTCTTATAGAAACCTTATTTTGTAGATTCAAGCTGAATTTTTCAGTGTTTTTACTTGATATTTATATAATTTAGTGAGTTTTGTTTTTTTTAAACTGGGTATTTCAAGAATTACAGTGATTTTTCTGTGCTATTACTGGGTATTGCAAGAATTACAGTGATTTTTCTGTGCTATTACTAGGTATTTAAAGATTCTAGTGATTTTTTTTTTTGCTTGGGTATTTCTGAATTATGGTGAATTCTGTTTATTTTTTTACTGTCTATTTCTAGAAGTATAGTGAATTTTGTTTATGCTGTTGTGGTTTTCATTATTGCATGGTTAATTTGATTTAAGTGAGATCAGTGAACTGGGATTTTGGTTATGGTTCCCTGAGTTTTTTTTTTTTTGGTGGGGATTTATTTTGTAATCCAGTGAATGAAGCACGTGTGGAATCATCGGATAGCTTGAAAAATGGAGACAAAACAAAAAGTTTGACACAACCTATGAGTTGTCCTTCTTCATCGAAACAACAAGGATTGGAGACTGCTTTGAATGAGCAGACTCCCGGTAGAGCATCTGATGTTGCTTTTAGTTCCATGCCTACGATGCATATAAATGAACAAGTTGGCTCTGGTTGTGGTGATGCTGATGATGATGTTGGTGGAAGAACTTTTAGAAAGTCGTGTCCTGAACCAATTTCCTCGGCAGGATCATCTAAAGTGTGCATAGATGGTTTTTTTCCTTTCCACCAGGTTGAGGGTTTTGCTCGAAAGAAGTTGTTCACTCCATATTGGCCTATAGAGGCTGTAAACGAGGCATTAGAGGTTTGTTTGAAAATGGCTCCTATAATCTATTCCCTTTTATACCATCTGATTGTTAATAAAAATTAAAAATAGTTTTTTATTAATCAATATTCTTTGTTCTACAAGACTAAAACAACCTATAAGAAAGTGATGCGTTCTAAAAGTTAGAGAACTTGTATTGAAATTAATTAGTTTAACAAAACAGCGCTTAAAGTCCCCAAGGGGACACCCTAGGGTAGAACTTGAGTTTTCAACTATGAAGTTTTAAGTTCGAATCTTGGGATGGGAGAGCTACCTGCTATTTCTTAACCCAAGATCATATTCATATGTATTTATATATATGTGCGTGTGTGTATAAAATTGCACAATTAAGCTTGAGTAGAAAATAATTAATAAAAACTAGTGATCGATATATGTATTCAATTCTCTGTAGTTTGTATTGGTTTTTGGATGCATATATATGGTCTATCTGGGAGGTTCACAAGTTTTGTTTGTGTGCATGTTTCTTGATCACATGTTCTTTAACCCTTTTGCAGAAAGGGAAAGCTTTTAAAGCATTGTTTCGTGTAAATGCTCACAATCGACTTGAGGTTTGTGATAGCTAAACTTCATTTTGTTTTATGACGTTGTGTACATGATTAATTTTGCATGCTAACATGGAAGAATGTTTTATACTGCTAGGCATATTGCAAAATTGATGGGGTACCTACAGATGTTCTCATCAGTGGAGTTTCTTCACAGAATAGAGCTGTATGAAATTCTTTGGGCTTGTGTTCTTTATGTTAATTGTCAACTCTGATGTACTTTGACATGTAGTTTAGCCTACTAGTTTATACGGGATGGGTCTAATAATTGCCAATCTATTTATTCTGTCTCATAGGTTGAGGGAGATATTGTGGTTATTAAGGTTGATCCTTTGGGATTGTGGACAAAGATGAAAGGGTCAACTGGGTCCTCAAACAATTCTGCACAGGTAGAAGATTGTAATTTAGTCCAAGAAGTCGATGGACTGGCTGGTAATAGCTACAAGGGTAAAGGTAAGGAAGATGCAGATTGTGAGTATGCTCATTGTAAAAGTGGAGTAATCCTTGAGAAAGGTTTTTATGATGAGGCAGGAATGACTAGGACGGCAGCATTCAATAATGTTAATGGGCATTTCCAATCTAGTTCAGATTCATCGCATATGGGTTTTTTTCCTGGGCAGAATGAAGGTATGAATTCAGTGGATAGGTTGGCTGCCATGACTAGTCAATTTTCCCTGAAACGACCAACTGGGAGGGTTGTAGCAATTGTTGAGAAGTCTCCTCGACGAGATGCTATCGTTGGTTTTCTTAATGTTAAGCAGTGGTTTTCTTATCAAGAACTTTATAGAAAAGATGCAAAGAAAAATTCGGCAAATTTTGACCATGAGTATGTTACATTGACCCCAACTGATCCAAGATTTCCCAAAATGATTGTTTATGTGAGGGGCTTACCTGACTGCATAAAGAAAAGGTTGGAAGATGGTGATGAAACAATTGAGATGGAGTTGGTAGCTGCTCAAATTGAAGATTGGAGTGCAGAAAGTCCTTTTCCACAAGCTAGTGTCTCTCATTCTTTTGGACGGGGTGGTGAGCTGGAACCACAGATCAGTGCGATCTTATATCAAAATGCAATCCCGTGTACTGATTTTCCTCCTCAAGTGCTTTCTCGTCTTCCAAATATCCCTTGGGAAATCCCAATGGAGGAATTTCAAAGTAGAAAAGACCTTAGAGACTTGTGTGTGTTTACTATTGACCCATCCACTGCATCTGATCTTGATGATGCTTTATCTGTTGAAAGGTTATCAAATGGCTCTTTAAGAGTTGGTGTACACATTGCAGATGTGTCATACTTTGTGCTGCCAAACACTGCCTTAGACAAGGAAGCTCAGATTCGATCAACCAGTGTGTACATGTTGCAGAGGAAGATACAAATGTTGCCATCATTGCTTTCAGAAAAGCTGTGTTCGCTTAATCCTGGAGTAGATAGGCTTGCATTTTCTATATTCTGGGACTTAAACAGCATGGGGGATGTTTTGGATCGTTGGATTGGCCGTACAGTTATAAGGTCTTGTTGTAAGCTTTCATATCAGCATGCTCAAGACATAATTGAAGGGACAATTGATGTGGAGAAATTTAATACTTTAGAAGGTTATCCCCGGTTGTATGGCCAATTTGAATGGACTGATGTTGTTAGATCTGTTAAATGTCTTCATGAAATTTCAAAAACTTTGAGGGGGAAAAGATTTAATGATGGTGCTCTACAGCTTGAAAGCTCCAAAGTTGTTTACTTATTTGATGAATGTGGAGTTCCATATGATAGCAGGCTAAGTGAGAGGATGGATTCAAATTTTCTCATTGAAGAGTTCATGCTTTTGGCAAATATGACAGCTGCAGAAGTAATATCGAGAGCTTTTCCAGATAGTGCATTATTGCGGAGGCATCCTGAACCTAATATGAGAAAGCTCAAAGAGTTTGAAGCTTTTTGTCGCAAAAATGGTCTAGCATTAGATACTTCCTCTTCTGGCCAGTTTCGTCAATCCTTGGAGAAAATAAGGGAAAAACTGAGGGATGATTCTGTTCTTTTCGATATTCTCATCTCATATGCTTCAAAACCGATGCAATTGGCTACTTACTTCTGCAGTGGTGAGTTAAAAGATAATTTGAATGATTGGAGTCACTATGCGTTGGCTGTTCCTCTCTATACACATTTTACTTCACCGCTACGTCGGTATCCAGACATTGTGGTACATCGGACATTGGCTGCTGTAATTGAAGCTGAGGAGTTGTATCTAAAGCATAGAGGATTGCTTAAAGGCAACAATGGTGAGGAAGTGTCAAGAAGTTGTTTCACTGGAATTTTTTTTGACAAGGAAGCTGCAGCCTCTCCACAAGGGAAAGAAGCATTATCAATTGCTGCATTGAATCATGGAATTCCTTCCCCTGAACTCCTTGCTGATGTTGCTGCATATAGCAATGAAAGAAAGCTGGCCAGTAGGCATGCTGAGGATGCCTGTGAGAAACTCTCTATGTGGGTTTTGCTGAAGAAAAAAGAGGTATATTTTACATTTCTTGTTTATGTTATGGAAAACTTTTTTTTCTTTAGTGTGACATAGCTATTATGTTTTGTACTATAAGTAGCTACCACTTTTAGATTTATATTTTGGTCCATGTGCTAAACTGTCTTAGCTATGAGACTTCCTCCATGTATTCCAGTTACATTTGTAAACTCTATCTTTACTTGTTATCTTATGCCTTTTGACTTTATCTTCTTAAAATGAAAAAAAGATGCTGCTAAAGTCGTTCTGAGTGTAATTTTCCGAGAAGTTAGATCATTTGTCTTGTATTATCATTGGACATTAGTTTTGCTGTTATAAAACATTTATAAAACATCCTGGGGCCGGTTTCTAATACTTTTGCTTGAACCTTGTAGATGTTAAAACTAATTAGGAGTTTAACATGAAGTATTGAAGGAATTCTAATAGGAGACTACTTGGTGTAGAAAATTAAATTGTGGAACTTTTGTAGTAATTGTTTTTCGTTAATGCTATATCATTTTGTTGGGGTCTGTATGTTTGCATTTTTGGCTGATGCTATATTTTTTGTCCTTTCTATTATTTTTTCCTCAGATTTTTTTGTCTGATGCTAGAGTATTGGGACTGGGGCCAAGATTTATGTCTGTTTATATCCAGAAGCTGGCTGTAAGTGATTTAGTTCTTATTTTCTTAGTTCATTCATTTATATATTTTTTCTTTTGGTTTTTCAATGCTCCTGCTGTTGTGCTTTCAGATTGAGCGAAGAATATACTATGATGAAGTTGAAGGGTTAAATGTAGAATGGCTCGAGTCTACCTCAACGTTGGTGCTTAATTTATCTGGTCACAGACGCGTGTTCAAGAGAGGTGGCCTACAGCATTACATGGCTTTAGGAAATGTTGCATGGGTTGTGAATCCTTACGATCTAAGTGTGGAAACAGGGAGTGTTGATGACTGTGATGCAACATGCATGGGGAATAATGGGGTGGCATTCCCGGATTCAGAGCCAATCTCAAAATCTTGGGTTGATCCTGGAACTTTTCCTCTAACGGTGCATCTGCTTTCAACGATTCCTGTGGCATTAAATGCAATTGGTGGTGATGATGGACCCCTTGAGATTGGAGTGCGCTTATACATGAGTTCATATTTGAAGTAACTCATGTTGTGGAGAAGGCTGTGAGGTATTGCGACTGAATTGAATGACCTCAGGGAGACATAGATAACAGAGCTTTGTATGGAATGAGCAGGTTCTGTTGTAGATAAGAACTTAGTGTATAGTTACTATAGAGGTTATGAAAAGGGGAAAAAAAAAAGAAAAGAAAACCCATGGTTTAGAATTACCGGGTCTTGATTATATGCTTGATGTGTTGACACTGGGACATGTGTTGGGAGGTGTAGATAACGGTGGGGTTCTGGTGGTTGTTTTTCCCTTTTGGTGGCTGTTTTTAACAAAAGCTGCTCTCTTTGGAATTGGCCCTTGTTTTTATCGGCGAGTTCCATCTGATATCTCGGTAGTATCTTTATATTGTTCGACACTGAGCATTGACACTGGGCTTAGGAGTCGATTCTATGTTGTCTTCCTTCGATCTTATCGGACTGCAGCCCAAGAGTTTTTTGAGTTTGGGTGGCTAAATTTAGTTGTTTCAGATTCGTTTTTTTGTTTTTTTTTTTTTCGTTTTACTTTGAGACAGTTGTATTCAGTATGTTACACACTCTATTTTAGATTTGCGTTGAATGACGCGGTGTCTCTCTCCTGGAGGCGAAATAAAGTGCTCATCTAGTTTTTTATTGCTGGTATTCACTGTGTTTATTTCTTTGGTGCTATAGGGAAATATTAGCTAGAAATAGAATGGTAGAGAGATCTGCAAATGCCCAACATCTTAAAACACTCGATTGTATGTTACTCAATGGCTGCCTGGAGACAAAATTGGAAAACAACGCACGTTTTTTACCTTGGTCGGGGGCTAAGTTTTGTTTGGCTGTCTTTGGTAAAGGATAAAAAAGTAGGTAAAAAGATATAAACAAATTTTAAATATTAGAAAGGAAAATCTCTACTTATAATTATCAGTCTTAATATTTTAAATTAGTGAAAATGGTAATATTATTTTTTATTTATTTTTTCAAGTCGCGAATTCTCATCAAATTTCTACGCGCCCAAATGGTACCCAAAATAAAGAGAGTAGAAACCTGAAGGAGGGAGTGGGCATGGACATCCTAGGCGAGGCGCAGAACGACAGTGAGAAGCGATGACATCGTGGTACGGACCGTTGATCGATCTCTCAAAAGCTTCTCATCACGTGGGCCACTTCGTCCAGCTTCTCGTTTTCGTCCATCGTTCCACTCCTCTGCAGGTCTCCTTCCATCTCTCTCTCAGTTCCATTGTTGTTTACTTTTATCAATTCAGTGCTTGTACTCTTAACACTAGTGCTCGAATTTGTTTTTGTTGGGTCATGGGTGACAGTATAAATTATCCAGAGGCGGAGAAATTATCAGGACCGACATTCAGGTTGGCGATGACACTCGACCCTTTTTCTCCGTCACCTTATGGAAGAAAGAAATGCGATCCATGGTTGTTGCCGGCGACGTCGTCTTGCTACAAAGTGAGTAATTTCACTTCTACATCATACTATATTTCGTTCTATTTAGTTGGCAATGCTAAAAATCTCTCACCTTTGTAATTTTTATTACATTATGACACCTTTTTTACTCTAACCCCGCTGTACCTAATGTCAAGAGTATTTTAACGGCTGTTGTACCAGATGCCAGCTGAATTTCTTTCGCCCACCTGACATGTAACCTGATGAATGGATTTAGTTGCCACACGACCACATCAATTTGTTTAGTCTTAAGTTAAAATTTCAGAGCTAGTTTGAATACAATAAAGTGAGGAGCTTAGTTAAATAATTGACTATAATATTAGGATTCGTTCAGGGTTTAAACCTTCTATTTAAATTCTCATACTATATAGTATGTACTGATTTGTATTTGTGTTTTAATAATTTCAGATGTCAAGATTACCAAATTTCGGGACGTTTTCCAGGCGAGAACTGTCGACTGGTCATCTTTACACCGTCTAGTCCATCCTTACAACTCCCTTGTTTCAAAGGGTATATATCTGAATTTAATCTTAATACTGGGTTTGTTGTTTGAATTTTAAATGTGTTTTTTAGAAATATGTTAGAAGTTTTGTGCTCACTTGTTGGACGATAGAAGCTCTTTTACGAAATGGAGCCTTGTGTTCATGTATTTGTTGCAGGTGCAGTTGAATTAGTAGCAGAGTGTAGAGTGGGGATAGCAGCGAAAGAAAAGCTTAGGAAGGTTATAGAATGGGTGCAGCGAACTGGATATACTGCTCTAAACAATGCTGAAGCGTATGACTGTCAAGTAGTCATTCCTTTCCTTTATACTCTATAGCAAGTTTCATGTAATTCTTGTACTTGCTATTTAAGGAATTTGAAAATAACCTGATTTTTCTTTTTTGGGCAATATAGCTTTCATTATAATATTTTGCGATATCTTGTTGCATTTAATTTAACCGAGCTGAAATTTTGTCATGCTTGAATATCAGTGAATGTCTGTGTGTGTGCCATTAGTGAAATTCCTAATACCTTTCGTTCTGGGAAGTTTCTTGACCTGTTTTCAAACTAGGCTGCTGCTGAGTAGGAAATTTATGATCATGTTTTTCCCCTTTGCCTATTTATCTTTAGCTCTGTAACATCTTCTATGTTTCTGTTAAATTGGATGTTATATTCATATTTTTTTCCAGTTGACTCTACTTGTTCTAAATGTTTTGAGTAATATATATGCTTAATTCACTGCAGAGTAGGCAGCTCTCAAGAAACTGGAAACTGCCGGAGCCAAATAAATTTAGAGACTGCCCCTCACTTTCAGAAGTATTGCGCCTAACTAGTCACTGTAAGGCAATATTTAGTGCGTCTGTGGGCGAAATTTTTCTGCCAATTACTTGGAGGCCCATTGCTGAATCTGAGAGTGAAAATATGTTCATCAGCGGGAGACTAAATACATCGAGAGACAATAATTTAGCAGAAGATCTTATTTGCACTGGCTGCCGGCTATGTGGTTCCCCATTGGATCCAGAGCAGGGGTATGTTAAATATCTTCAAATTTCCTGCATTGCTTTTCATGTATTGAATTCATATGATACTCAATGTCTCTGTACTCTGTAACAGGTCTACAGTTGGGAAGAACTCTCTTCCACTCTATTGTGAGAAAAGTTCAGATCGCCTTCATGCAGTCAGCTTGATATATAGGCCTTGTGTGGTATTGGTTTCTTCTTGCACTTACTTGGCTGCACATAACACTTGTATTCTCTGTGACAATGGAAGTACCTAATTGTTTCTGCTGAAATTGTTGAAGATTGTTTCTAGAGAAGAACAGTTTATATTACTCTATGCATTGACCTGAACAATCTGCTGAATTTTGAAATTATAGTTTCTTCTGAATATAGCAAAAGTAATTGTTTGGAAGGATTCATGTCATTTAAAGATTATTTTCTTTATTTGTTAGTTGAAATTATCAAAATGAGAAGCTTGAATTTCTGATTAGTGCACATACGTGTGGTCAAGTTTGTGGCATCACTTGTTATTTCAAGAATCACAAGTCTGTTGATATTTCCCTAAGCTTTGTTGAAAAGTTTGGGTTCTTGGGATTACCACTTTTAGTTATTTCCATTTCAGGTCGTGTGCATTCCTTGTGTGTTTCTGTCTTGGTGCGTGTTTTTGTGTGTAGTGAAAACCAAATCTAAACCATATTTGTTTGCATGTCATGTGTACAATGTCTTGGTGTATTTTGTTTATGCTAATTATTGATTCTTTTGGTTGGGTTTTTTCTCTCCTTCCATGGTCTGGTTTGTCTTTGATTGCAGTTATATGTATGGGATGAATCTGAATACATGCCACTACTGGTCAAAAACAATGCAGCAGAGAAATTGTTTGGGAACATCAAGGCTGAAAGAGTCTACTTATGCTATAGAGAATACAAGTGCGATAAAAACCCTGATCCAGGATGTACTGAAAGGAGGGTTCCTCGTGGTACAGGAACCAGTAATTCTCCCAAAGCTGCTGGAACAAGTGATACGGATTATTGCTCATCAGATGCGCATAAGAAGCAGGAAAGTGGCCAAAACAAACGATGCCATAAAAACATAAACATCTTTCTAATTTGGTTAGTAATTCTAAAAATGTTGCTGCAGCAAGGAAAGAACAGTCCTTTGAAATTTGAAGTTGCTGTAAATGCTAGCCTTGATACAGAAAATGGGAGGTTTGAAATGATATCTGTGTCTACTCCATGCTTCAAAAACATTTGGTCTTTGCAATGAAGTCAATGTTGATTTTACTTCTGTTGCATACATGGCTTTCTTATGATGAATGCATAAAATTGTCTTCAAGTAACCTGAAGCCTTGTTCAAGTGATAACAAATAGCAGCAGAATGAATCTCTTTGCATATTGGGAGAAGTTAAGGCGCTTCTGAAAATTTAAGTAAAATTTAGAAGCTCTTTATTGAGCCAAGACATTCCTGGAAGAAGAAAGTGCCAATTTCTTATTCACCAAAGCCATAGAGGGGGAGGACATGCAACTACGAGAAGGAAAAAGGGACCCAACTTATAAACAATAATTCGCTAGGTCTCTTGTACACCCCAAGCAAGTTTGAAAGACAGATTCAAGCACTTCCAAAGATGTGAATCTACACCATCTAAGACTCTGAAACCGAAGAATCATCAGCTGCAGAATTTTGGGCTTCTGATAGCTTCATTTGGCGTTCCGCGTGCTCTCTTTCACAAGCACTGATTCCCATAATGATATCAAGCATTGTACCGGTTGTGCCAAAGAACACAAGGGGCGCTAAAGATTTCCTCTTTATCCCCACTGGAATTGCTAGCAAAGCCCCTGCTACTGAAAATACCCATGTGCCCAATGCACTGCAGATATTCCACATACAATAACACTCATTACAATATATCTGATGAAAACATATATGCAAAGGAAATGAATCAGGAGATCAGGCTACCATGCTGAGAAAATTGAAATGACATTATGAATGGAAATAAATAATAAAACCCAGGTTAAGTACTATCACGTGGAAAACTCTATATCTATCCGGAAAATGAATCTAAATGGTTTGACGAGCAGATTGGTTTAAAAGGGCTGCAATGGCACTTCAACAATTCTGATGTTTTCAGTCAGGTGCATGCAACCCTATATCATCAGCGGTGGTTCAATATGCTGTGAATCACTCTTTTTATAAGCTGTCATAACAAATGCTGGTCGATAATTTAGTCAATAAAGCTTTTTCATTGGATTTCCCCTTTTACTAATTAAAACTAATAACTAAAATCAAATCTTTGGGATAAGCACAATATTTTTACACCCCTGCTCCTACCTGAATTCTCCTAAAGACCAGGCTTAGAGCCATAGATAGAGATTCATATGAATAAATCCCAATTTCCATGGCCAGTGCTACTATAAATTTGCTAAATTCATTATTTAAGATACCTTCTAACCAAACTATAAGCTAACAACAAGAATTATTTCTTCCCCTCCCCCCCACACACCAAAAAAAAATAAAAAGAATTATTTCAAACTCTACATGCTCATATTAGGACCCAAACATACAAGGTTATATTAGATGAAAAGAAAAAAATCAAAATATGGAGAAAAACAAGAGCAGCAACTGACTTGGAAACTGAGCATTCCTCAAGCTGCTTAACCTCTTGGCCAGCCATTTCTTCCTCTCCTAGCTTATTTGATCTTGCACGTTAACCTAAAAGGGGGAAAAAAAAACCCCTCTTTATCTGCCATCAATGGAACTTATTATTAGAGACAATGAAAGCCAATCACCTAAAACCCGAGAAACCAGCAAATCACAAAGGAGAAAAGGCCAAAAAACTTCAAAACACTAAATTTTCCAAAAAAAAAATTTAAACCCATTAAAGGTAAAAGATTTGAAGCCCACCTGATAAGAAAACTGATCACTGTGAGAAAATGTTGATCAGAGGACTGCTTTGCTTTCCCCTTTCCAAGGATGCAACGACCAAGACAAAGCCGGGGTTTTACAGCTCCTTTTGAGATGAAAATTTTAAACGGGCCCTTAATGGGTGTGAAGTCCATTGGTTTAAGCCCATAAAATATGTACAAAACCAGAGACCGGGGCAGAAAGCACAGAAAAAAGAGGAGATGAGAGGAGTTGGAGGGCCTTTGCTTACCATAGGGGATCTGCTAAGCGACGTGGGGGATGAATCCGGTGCAGCTCCAGACCACCTCCACCACCATGATACCACTCTTCCATCACCATCATCATCAATTTTTGATGCCAATGATGTCCCTCAATCCTTGGACCTCATCAAACTCTTCCAGGTTCCTTCTTTGTTCCTCTGCATTTACCGGAAAATAGGGCAGGCCCCAAATTGAAAAGCTTTTAATTCCTTTCTTTTTCTAAAGTTTATTTTTGATAACAAAAAAATTCTAATTGAGTTGTAGCAAAGTCTAACTTTAGCATGAATAAACTTTGGAATTCATTACCTCAAGATTGGAATGTCAAAGAAAAAACCATTTCATATTTGATTCCCGGAGGCAAAATGGTTTGCTTGGGTTTTGTTTTTTTTTTTCTAGAATATGTTAAATTGTTTTAGTTGTTTAATTTTTCTGTGGAAAGTGCATTGCTTTTTGGTAAGTTACCATTACATTTTCTCATCATATAATCGTCCTTGTGTTAATTCAAAGCATAGGACTTTTCAGTTGAAAGACTTTATTGTTTACCTCTGAACTCACCCTAATGCATGATGAGAAAACATTTAAGTTTCGTTTATCATTGCTTTGTTTATAAAGTGTTTGGAGATGGGAAACAGTTTGTAGGAGTTTTGAATATCATATGGGATGACTCGGTAAAAATGCTGAAATGATCACTTCCTCGTGTTTTTATGGAAAGCTTAGTATGTGTCTGTCTGTTTTGGCGTTACACGTATGCATCTTCGTTTCTTTGCTGTGACAAGGCCTTGGTGGTTTTATTCAGGAAAACTATGAGAAATTGAATGAGGCACTTTCTGGTTCGGACCACTCATGGACAGCTCTAACTTTAAAGGTAATAGATGATCTGTTTTGAAGCATATGTAGAATTGATCGTTTCTGTTGCGATTTATGCATTACCAAGAATATAGGCAAACAGGAGTCTGTTAGGGGACTACAATAATGTTATTGCTTTACCAGGTGAATGAATGCTGGTTACATTGCTTCAGTTTGAGCATCAATTCTGTTGACTTTAGCTCTTGTTCTAGCATCCTGTATCCTCAGTTTGGTTTTAATAATGAGAGGTTAATTTTAATCATTCTGACTGTTAAATTGTTTTCCTCGGTTATTCCAGCTATGCACTGCTCTGGAAACTGCAAACAAGTTGGTTCAGTCCACTGACACAAATATTAGGTTGCTGTCAGAGAAGGTTGCAGAGCTTGAGAAAATTGTCAAGAGGGGAGATGCTGCAATTACAGCGGCCAGGGCCATCTCTATCTCCCTAAACCAAAAAGGAGGATCATATGTCGGTAGTCAGGAGAAGGAGCAATCTAGGTCTCATCAAGAACATGTGAAGTCATAGTCCTCGTGTTACTTCTTGCTAGCATTATTGCTTGGAAAAGGTCCCAGATATGATTCTGGAAGAGGAGACTCCAATCTTTTTAAAGTGAACTTTTGTAGGTACGTATTGTGCATTTTGCTTGCTTAGACCACATCTCGGGACATAGAGCAATTATATAGATAGAGTGAAGTTACATTACCATAAATTGCACTGGTGTTGTAAGCTTAAAACTCAAGGCAAGCAATCCATGTAAAAACGATTGATCGTTTTGTTTGAATATATTAGAATGAATGATAGTTGATGAGAGATTGTTGCCTAGTGCAGCCAGCTAGGTAATTTCTGAAAGATGAAATAACGTATATATCTCTGGACTGTCATCAACAAATGTGGATAGCAACGTGTCAACTAAACTTCCCTCGAAGATCCTATGAATGAATGGCTATGCCGTTCCCTATCAAACATTTCGGTGAGCAAGGGTTATAACTGCCTGTGGCATTTGCATAGAGTTTCAAGCCTTTCAAGTTCTGCCAGATTATATTAGGTTTTCAGGGGGCTGTCTTGCATCAGGGTTATTGTAGATTGGTACCAAGCCCACCGTGCTGTCCAGTTTCTTGGTGCTGTTGTTGTAAAATGCAGGCTGAAACTCACCAGCCCCATTGTACTAGGTTGGGTCCAAAGTCCAATTAATCAACTTCAAGCCCATAGTTTAAGCGCTGACATAATTACTAATTACTATGCATCTTACTTCATATTATGATCTTAACCTTAGAAGAGTTAAAGTGGATTAATACTTAATGATGTGATTAGAATTCTCACATCAATATTAGTTATTAGCTTACTTTGTTGGCCTTTGCCCACCCCTGGCACCATAAAGGTGAAAAAAATTCAGCTCAACATTTTGTCTTGTAAGTTTTTTTTTTAAAAAAAATTGAATTCTACTTTTTATAAATATATATATCGGTAAATCAAATACTTAAGTGAAAATTTCTTTTTATTTTATATATATAATTTTGTTAAGCTTCTCTACTTATAATTTTTTTAAAAAAAATTTAAAAGAATAAGAAATTTGAACCTTACTCTTGGAGTAGAAAAATCATATTAAAATAATTTGATTTTGAATATAATGTTGATTATGCACAAATATCTTTTTATTCATAATTCAGACTAAGCTTTCTACATATAATTAAATAATTAATTAACTTAATGTTTCATTCAGCTTAGTCCATGCCAACGATAGCCATCTAAAGCATCGGTAACGTGGCCCGACGTTTCTAGCTACCTCCTCATGCAATAGTCGTATAGCTACCCGGGCCTAGCTTTGGGATGAAAGAAAATAACAGCTACCAAAAATCGTTGAAATCTCTGCCACTAAACATCCAAAAACAAAACCATCAGAAGGGGAACAAGACAATACTCTATCAAACAACCCTCCCTTTGGGGCCCTGCCCCTAATTATAACCCTTCCAATTTGCCTCTTCTTTAACAATAAAGTCTTTGTCTTAGTAGCATAATTTAATCCCTAATTAATGATGCTTTCAAGACCATTAGCAAACCCTTTTTATCTTTAAAATTAAAAATTATTGAATAAAAAATTGGCTTGATTCCCTCTAAGCAAGACAATCATAGCCCACTTTTAGGCCTCTAATTTTTCCATTAATTTATGTCCCTCTAGGTATTACTCTTCTAATTCAGTAATAGATCTAATATTCAAGCACACTGACATCACTGGCCTTCAAATTTAACTAATGCTTCCCCGTTAACCTTTGCTGTTAAGTTTTTATAATTAGGCATTACATACGCTAAACATATTTAACACGGAAACAAATTAAGATTAAGCTCAAGTTTAATTAAGATTAAGAAATTAAGAGACAAGATTAGCTCGAAATTATCCCTCCACGTGGAAGACAATGAAAAGGTCGATCTGCGCGTTGGTCTCCAAGAATATATACTAGTGCTTTAAATTCACAAGCTTTTTGCTAATCTATTACTTAGTCTAACTAGTTAATTAGAGAGTGCTTCACTATCAACTTTGTTCCAATTGCAAGTATTTTTGGTTTTTGTTTTACCAAAGCTTTGCATATTAACATAAACAATCTTACAAAGAGAACTAGCACACCTTCTCTTTCTAGTTAATGGGAAAAGTCCCAAAATTCCACACAAGAGGCATCTTGACTATCAAGGTCGGCAAACTCGGCCAAGTGTTGGAATTCATGTACTTGTCGTCGAGAAAGATCGAAGAGTAAAAGCTAGGAAAAATAAATAAGCAAGACAAAAAATTATGTAAAGGAAGAAAAGAAAGAACAAATTTAGTGCTTTGAATTAAACGAGATAAGCTTTAACCAACCTTCCGGGGGTGGCAAACTAGTGTAATCATATACTACTATAATTGTACACTTAATTCACAATGATATGGAAATTGGCAAATGGGATTTTTTTTTTTAATTTGATTGAGCTTTTTTAGGCTTTTAGGATAAAATTAACTTGAGCCGGATGATGTTTGGCTTATGCTTTAGTTTGCTGAAGTACTTTTCACGAGTATATAATATTTATATTAAAAAAATAATTTCTTAAATATATTAAAATTTATCATATTAACTATCAACTACCATAAATAATATCTTAACTAATTTTATAAAATATCTCAAAAACACCTACTAGCAAAAACTCTTTTTCCATTTCGTTTTCGTTACACGAATACTTCCACTTTGCTCTACTCATGCACTAAGAGTTTTAATTTAAGAGATAAACATTAATAATTTCAACTGGCAAAATTAAGCATGCTGAGAAATAAATAATTGTAACAATCACAAAGCTTGAACATGTCCTGATTTTTGTGACCAACATCGATAAAGTTTATTCCGTAGTTGTTTGTTTATAATGACCCCATAAAGATGGAGGCAAAAAAAAAAAAAAAACTAGTTGTTTATCACTTCAATCACCTTTCATTTGTTAAAGGTGTTTACTCAATTTTTTAATGACTTGGAAGCACACTTGAGGCTCAATGAATGTCAAGCCAAAGACAAGAGGAAAGACAAAGGCAAATGCAAGTTCCAGAATGTTGTCTTTCAAAATATTTCCAACTAGTACAGCTTGTTGCATTGATCTGCCGGTTGTTCAATACACAGTGCCCTCGTAATCACTTATTCCAAACCAAGATCAAAACAATGAGAACAAACCCGTGATCAAGCAAAAGTTACAAATTAATCCAATTTAGAAAGCTGAGTTTATATAGCTAGGTTTTTTAATTTCTTAGTTTTGTTGAGATTTGCTTTTGAACTGGCCATAATCCTATCCATCATATAGCATTTTGTTAACATAATTCCATCCATCTAACTTACAAAAACTACCAAAAACAACCAATGTCTGAATACTAAAAACTAATAATGCCGCTGCTATCATTGCAAACTTGTTTCAATGGTAAAAAACTAAGAGGCTCTCGTGGGGGTTCGATTACACCCTATGAATATTTCGTTTAATTTTAAGTTAGTTCTCTTTCCACTTATATATATATATATATATATATATATATGTAGACTAATTTCTTATGGAAATTACGTTTAAAGCAACAATTCTAATCACAAGGGAGGAGTGATGAGGGCACAAGATTTGCATCGGGTTCAGACTAGGGTTTAGTGAAAAGACAAACCATCTATAAAACCAATATATAATTAGATAAATTAAACATATTAGACCAAATCCACATGTAATAAAGCTTGAACTAAAGATCTCGAGGTTATAAGACTTCTGTGTCATTTGCTTTTAATTTGTTGATTTGGTAACTTAATAATCTGTTATACAGATTATATATGACATGAAAATCAAATGATGGCATCTATATATCTGCATAAAGATGCTTAAAATGCTGCGGTTAACTCAAAATTTTCAAACCCTAATGAGAAGTAAAGTTGATGAATGAATTATTGAAGGAGTGAGTAGTACTACTGGTGTACTGATCATCATAGGCTAATTTTAAAGAAAGGGAATCTCTAGGTCTTTACAACAGACAATGGAATCTCATCTCTTACAAGGAATATACGAGTGAATATATCTATTGGACCACATTTTTAATGACTAGAGTTGACAAACCATGGTGTTTAATTATTGTGAAGTTAGAGAGTAATATTCCTTTAGATATTATTTAATTAGCAAATATGTGCTTGGCAATACTGGGCCAATGGTGGAGTGTTTTGACTTGAATTATGAACGTTTATTTCTGGTGGTTTTCGTCATCATCCATATCAGCCTCTCCATGGACGGTGATGGGTATTTGGTGGATTTGAACAATGATAATAATTAATTAGAAAGAGTAAAATAATTAATATTGTTCACGTATCCAAAAAGTTAAAAAAAAAAAGTGATATACCTTTGGCTTTGAAAAAATACCTAATCAAGTGTCCTACACACTTTAATAAATAAAATTTGAATGATAGACTTGAATTGACATTTATAAAATTAATTGTCTATTAATATCTATGAAATATGATCTTTTAAAAAAAATTAGAACTTGAATATTTTAATTTAGAAGTCTCAGTTTAAACATGTTAAGATATTACAAATTCACAATCGATCTAGTCATATACAATTTCGTTTGAATTGAATGGTTCATTTGACTAGATGATCATATGCTAGCATGATATAAGTATTGTCTCATAACTTTTATTAGCAAAATAAGTATCGATAATTTGGATGTAATTCTTGAAAAATCTTTTAAATTATTTAAAAAATTTTAATTAAATTTTATTTTTTATTACACAATAAATATCAAATAAGCAGTTATTATTAATGATTGATTAATTATCATTAATTAAAATATCTTTTGTCATTTAATGTCAACATAAAATTGACATGAAAGGTGAATATATTACATAATTATATCATAATATCACATCACTATATCATGTTATCATTTATTATGATATGATAGTATGTCACATCAGTACTAAATGATATAAAATAATAAATAATTTTTTGATTAATAATAATTAATCAATTATGCCTTAAAAAATTACTTAATCATTAATTATAAAAGCTTTCCTAATTCAAAAAACGAAAGTACAAGATCTTGATTGTATGTAATAAAAAAGTAAAAATTTATTTAAGATTTTTTAAATAATTTAAAGATTTTTTTAGATGTTATACCCTAATCTTGCCTTCCATCATTGTTATCACTTATCGTAATCATAAAAAATGAGTAAATAAGTATATATATAAAGAAAAAGAAAAATGAAGAATTGAAAGTTTCATGATCACCTTTTGTTATTAGCTCAAAATGCTATAGATATGACGAGGGGGAAAAATAAGCCTGCTAATCAATTAAAGTCAACAAATATAAAATTAGGGAAACACTTAATAGTACAAGACTCAAGATTAATTTATGATTTTAGAGCTTTTACTCTATGTTTAAGACAAAAAACACCTTTATGCACAAGATTTGGTGATATAAATATGCGAAACTATGACATATTCCTAATAGTGACATTCATGTTATACACATATAGATAATATTTAGTGTGAATTACATATCACACACCATAATAAAGATTTTATAATTTTTTTTAAAAAAATTAAGATACAAAGTTTGAATCTCTCCTCATATAGCTATAAAATAATTGAAATTTCGATATGTTTCTTATTAATCTATCGACACTTAAGCAATCAAAAAATAAAAAAATTATAATCTAGTCTAAAATCCTCTGAGAGAAAAGAAAAAAATATTTGTAAAAAAAAAACATG